CATTGTTGTTTGGCGGGTCCGGGCTGGGGATTCGAACCCGCCACCTTAGGTGTACGTGGCTGGCGCCTTAGCCGGTTGAGCTATAGGCGCCGAGCCTTGAAGTCCATTTCTAAGAAGCTATTGGCAACATTAAGTGAGGGCTTCAAGGTATTAGATTCCTAAACTCCTAACTGATGGCATGCGAAGTTTCAGGTAGAAATTAGTGAACCCCTGATGAGACCTTTTGGACAGCCACTTTATAAATCCATGACTCCCCAAACATACCCTGAATGCGTTAAAAGACAGCAGTTCTCAACCTGTGGGTCACGACCCACAGGAACTGTATTAAAGAGCCACCACATGAGGAAGGTTGAGAACCACTGCCTTAAGATCAGATGGGGAAAGAAGTCTGCCCCTTTAATAGCTGTGCTCATACCTCTTCAATTGAATCTGGTGGGAAATGGAAAGGAAAAACTAGGGTTTTTTTAGGACTGAAAAACCTCTTTTTCTTGTAGCCCAAATCATTAACATTTGTGCTCTGAGCAGTGGAAGGAAATGCTAAGGGGGAGGCAGAGCTTAGTTGTCAGCCTTAAGGATGACTATAAATTATTTCTCCCATTTCTCTACCTTTAAAATAGGGAAGGTAATTCTGGGTATGTAATTAGACCAAACACAGAATTCCCTGGAGAGCTAGTAGTTCAGTGACAGTATTAAGTTTTTATGTATAATCCTGCTTTGGCAATAGAAGCCCTAAAGGTGACAGTGAATAGGTGGATAGACTCTGATAATGAGATTGCTTGCCTTTGACCTAAAGTTGTAGGTAAATGACTAAGTCTTTTCTTTGACAGGTATTTTTCCTGAGACTCACCGTCCTCTTCTTCTCCAAAAGGTTGGTGACTTAACTGAGTAAATCTTTAGTTTTAAGATTTATGATGACTAAATAATGCTGGGACCCACAAGAGGTAGTGGGCCATAGTTAAAACTGCCTTCTCTGTGAATTTATATTAATAAAGTTGTTTTCTCCCTTCTTAGGCAAATAAAGCAGAGGAAGTGGCCCCTACATAAAATCTAAAACTATTTACAAGAATAGGATATTTTGAGAAATATGACTATGGAGAGATTTGTGTCATGAGAATGGTGTTTGAATAAATTTGGATCCTAGTCTAAACTTGAATATATCAGAATTAACATCTTAGGGATTTAGTGAAGTGTAGCAATGTAATCTTAAGTGAAAACAGATTTGCTTTCCAGAAGAGAAGAATGTGGGTAGACCAAACAGAAAACAAACTACCAAACCTTTCAGTAGCAAGAGATTTGGCCCCATTTCCTTTTTAGTCTGATAAAATCCATTGTCCTGGTGAGTTGTCTTCTTTCTCTGGATTCTTGATCTTTCCTTCCACTTACTCCCCTATAGCTACTCAAAGATGGAGGTGTGCTGTCACCAATCCTCACACGGCTGATGAACTTCTTTGTATTTTCTCGAGGGTGAGTCATTGACTATGGTCTGGAAACCATAAATATAGTAAAAAGCTGTTGCCATTATAATTCTGAACCATATCCTTGGTATTTAAAGCTAAGGTGTTGGCCACTTGCCAGGGAAATAGTAGAAGGGATTAATGTATGACGTATCAGATAAGGGTCAGAGTGCATGCCCTCTGAGGTTCCAGTCACAATTAACATTTTGAGTTCTCATGCTTATCTTCCTGCCTTTTGGACTGTTTCAGACTCACCCCAGTCTTTGGGCCATACACTCGGCCCTCTGAGAGCGAGCTGTGGGACATGTGGGCAGGGATCCGCAACAATGATGGGAACTTAGTCATTGACAGGTAAGAAATTATCCTTTGCTTTGGTTTCCAGAGAAGCTTTTTTGGAGAGGGGAGTGCAGGATTGTTTGTTCTGTTTCTTGCTGGCTTGGTTCCTGTCACAGGAAGGTTGGTTATGTATGACCTATGAGGCAAACCAAAAACAGTCATGGTCTGGACTTTCTAAGAAGAAAGAAATTGAGTAGAGTGAGCCCTGAGCCTAACCCAAGTGGCTCAAAATGTTTAGGTAAACAGTTTTAAATTCTATTGCTAGTTGCGTTCATAACTGGTGAATGGTTTTGGCAAATTCTTCTTTGGGCTTTTTGTTAATATTAACTTGCTTCAAAGTATAGTTAACAGGACTGAGATGGCAGAGACCTGTCTTATGCGGAGAATTCCCATGCCTTCCTTCAAATGAGAAGGTAGCTACTTTCACAGGGATCTAGAGATGGTGTGATACTTGTAACTTCTTGAAATAAGACTTGTTTTGTCAGCTGGGTCAGCACAGCATTCAGTGTTTCAATTGATGGCTTTGCTGGAATTGTGTGTTAGAGGGAGCCATTCCTTCTTCTCAACCCTAACCCTGATGATTCCTTTTAAAATTGAAAAATCAAAGAATAAGACTGTTTTAAAAATTCTCTTATAGGGCCCAGCACGGTGGCTCATGCCTGTAATCTTAGCACTCTGGGAGGCCAAGGCGGGTGGATTGCTTGAGCTCCCAAGTTCAAGACTAGCCTATGCAAAAGTGAGACCCCATTTTGGTGGGGGCGTGGCGCCCATAACACAGTAGTTGCAGCATCAGCCACATACACCAAGGCTGGTGGGTTTGAATCCAGCTTGGACCAGCTAAACAGCAATGACAACTGCAACCAAAAAATAGCTGGGCGTTGGGGCAGGTGCCTGTAGTCCCACTTGCTTGGGAGGCTGAGGCAAGAGAATCACTTAAGCCCAAGAGTTGGAGGTTGCTGTGAGCTGTGACGTCATAGCACTCTACCAAGGGTGCCATAGTGAGACTCTGTCTCAAAAAAAAAAAAAAATTATATTTTCCTTTTCAAAAAGTAAATAGTGTTTCTAAGAGGTAATATTTGCAGTTCACAATAATAACTGTCCCTAGACTTGCCAGGCAGAACAATTAGAATATAAGAATTCTGAGTTCTACAATGTGGCTATGACATCCCACACCCTAGAAAGAGAAAATCATCCCTATTTTATCTGGTCTGATGAAGTTTTATATTTATGAACTTGTAAATTCCAGATTTTAGATATATGTCAACATAGAGATCATGTACTTCAATCTTCTTGTTTTAAAAACAAGAAAGATGGACCTGGTATATATCTGTAGTCCTAGCTCCTGGGAAAGGAGGCTAAGGTGGGAGGCTTGCTTGAGTTTGAGGCCGCAGTCAGCTATGATCAAGCCTATGACTAGCCACTGTACTTCAGCCTGGCCATCATAGCAAGACTCTGTCTATTAAAAAAAAAAAGCTGAACAAGGAAACTGAGGAAAAGATGTGTTATATGTTTTAGTCAGAGGCAGTGCTGGAGCCAAAATTAGAACTGCAGACCCAGGCTTTATTTATTTTTGAGACAGTCTCACTTTGTTACCCTGGGTAGAGTGCCATGGTGTCATAGCTCATAGCAATCTCAAACTCTTGGGTTCAAGGGATCCTCTTGCCTCAGCCTCCTAAGTAGCTGGGACTACAGGGGCCCTGGCACAATACCTAGCTAATTTTTTTTTTTCTATGTTTAGTAGAGATGAGATCTCACTCTTGCTTAGACAAGTCTCAATCTCTTAGGAGCTCAAGCAATCCACCCACCTAAACCTCCCAGAGTGCTAGGATTACAGAGTGAGCCACTGAGCCCGGCCATACCTGGGCTTTATAGTCTCATGATCCAAACTGACTTTTCACCTGCCTAGACCTCATTTCCTGCTTAATAAACACATAGTACCATGAATCTTACATCAATAGTAGGCATGATCACTACATTGTTGGTGACTCTAGAGCAGTGTTTTTCAAATTTGTTTATCTCATAGCATAGTTGAACCTATAGTTTAACTTCCACGGCACATGAAATTATGTTGCTCCAAAAAAAAAAAAAAAGTAAAAATAAGAATATACTTGTATATTTTGAACTTCTTTCAAAAAAATTAATTAATGATCTTGGGTGGCACCTCTGGCTCAAAGGCGTAGGGCACTGGCCCCATATGCTGGAGGTGGTGGGTTCAAACCCAGCCCAGGCCAAAAACTGCAAAAAAAAAAAAAAATAAAAATTAATGATCTTTAAAAATTTTTGTGGCACACCTAAGAACTTCTCATGGAACACCATTTGAAAAGTCACTGTTCTAGAGATTAACAGAAATGGATAAATTAAGTGGATGATTCTCAGGAATGTCAGGTTGCTTCTGGATTGGGAAAACATACTTTGTTGGGCTTCTTATAATAAGGGTTCCTTGTTCTGCTCCTGCTGACTTATCTCTCCTATAGTCTCTTACAGTACATCAATCAGAGGAAGAAGTTTAAAAGACGCTGGGTGGGAGCTCTTGCCTCTGTATCTATTCCCAGTGAGTATTTTTATATGATTTCTTGATAGGAAAACTGAAGGACTATAGGGTTAAAATAATTGCAGCTCTTACTATCACTAATTAAGGTTACCAAAGAAATGCATTTAAATCAAATTTGAATTTTACATAAAGAACACATACTTTTTCAGTATTTAAATGTGTTGTGCAATATTTGGGACAATACTTAATACCAAAACAATTCACTTTTATCTCAAATCCCAATTTAACTGTAGCATCCTCTCTTTTGCTGGTAATTCTGCAACATGTGGTGGACCTTGTGATGTACTTGTAAAGTGAAGTACATAAAAGGGGTCGCCGGAGACATTGCCCTGGTAGTTGATATTGCCAGCTTCTGGGGTGTGCACTGTCAGTGACTGCTACGTTCAATGCTCAGTTGTTAGTTGTTTGCATTACTAACCAAGAGGCTGTAGGTGGTTTGTGCTCATTTGACTCTACATTCTTAGAGATTTAGAAAAGAAATTAGTACAGTGTTTAACACTTAGTAGTTAGTGTCCAGGAAATTACTGACTGATTTCAAATGTCAAAGGTTGATTAGAGAGACTTAAAGAATGACAGTATTCTGGCTTTATGGACAGAGAAAGTTGAAAGTGGGATGTACTCTTTTCAGCCTAGGGCACAGAAGAGCTAGAGGAGAGGCCAAATGGCTACTTACAGGAGAAAATGTTCCTTCCAAATGAACTGACTGGCTTGTTCCCAACAGTTCTTCATGGCTTGCCTAATAAAAGAAGCTAGATTTTCTATCATAAAAAGTTTTATTTACGTAAAATCTTTTTTGGAAAGGAGGTAATTTTAGGGTTGGATGTGAGACCTCTATCAGTAATCATTCCTCTTTTTCTTTCCTAGTTCATTTTATCTATGGGCCGTTGGATCCTGTAAATCCCTATCCAGAGTTTTTGGAGTTATACAGGTGAGTCTCGGAGGTCTTTGTTGTTGGTATCTCCTCTTGACAGTGGTAAACAGAATTACCTGCTGAGGGCTGTTGGCTGTAGCCAATGACCTCACTGGCTATTCATCCAGGAAACATAACACAGAAAGATGAGTTGAGGAGACGTATTCTCAATACAGACTGGAAGATCAAGTAGCTCAGTTATACATTCTCTTGATTTACACAGCCTGTTTCCACTGTATGGCTACTACATGTTCCTAGTTGTCGCACAGGTAAGAAAGCCATCATGTGAGCCAAAGAATGAAACTGGATATATCTTAAGAGATGTTTGTTGTAGTGTGACTATGAAGCCAGTTCACTGGCCTAAACTGAGCAGACTGCAAGGAGAGACTGAGAAGAGTTCACTGTGGAAAAGTACCTCATAGGTTGTTATTCTTGCTAGGTTCTTTGCTTAGAAGGTGTTGGAATGTGAAACTTTGAGTATGTCACATAAAAATGTTCCATACCTTCCTATGGCCCAGTGGACACAACCTAGTAGTAAATAGCTTTCATATAATTTTAAACAAAATACCTCTCATCTCTTCCTGGGATTAAGGTAGATCCTTTGTTATCTTTGTTTGGGCAGTGAGTTGCTAAGATCCACTTGTTAATGGTGCTTCTCTAAGAAGCTAGAAGTCATCCTGCTTTGATAATTGTTGAGAAAGTGTTATATTTTTAAGTTGTTGTCAGTTGGGTAATGAACATTTAAAAAGTAGTCTGTATAAGTGGAACTGGCAAGTTTTATCTGCCTAAGATACAGTTGGAAAGTAGAAGGTACATCAGCTCTTTGCTGGTTCCTTTTAGTGTGATAAGTCTGCAGGGGCATTTACTGGGGCTTCCCACTGGCTTACATTCCCCCCCTCCCTATAGCCTCAAGTTCACCTACATGCTGTTCTCTTCCACTAGGAAAACGCTGCCGCGGTCCACAGTGTCGATTCTGGATGACCACATTAGCCACTACCCACAGCTAGAGGATCCCATGGGCTTCTTGAATGCATATATGGGCTTCATCAACTCCTTCTGAGCTGGAAAGAGTAGCTTCCCTGTATTACCTCCCCATTCCCTTTATCTGTTGTGTTTCCACTTAGGAAGAAATGCCCCAAAGAGGTCCTGGCTATCAAACACTATTTTCTCAAAGAAGTCCACTTTGCTCACGTTAGTGAACAGTATATAGGAAAAAGCCAGCAGGAGCTCCGACTAAGGGTTAACATAATAGTCCACCTCGCATTCCTCTGACATCGATCAAAAGTGGATGGACTTAACATTGTCTTTGTGTTATTAGGAAATTCTACTACTCACTGATGGAAAAGGACAGAAATTCCTTTGCATAAAAGACTTTTTAACACTTCTTTGGACTTTTCCAAAACATTTAGAAATGCTAATTTCTGGCCTGGCCCCAACTGGAATCCTAAAGTAAAAAATGAGAAGGGGCTGCCTTACCTCTCCTTGAATGGCTTTAAGGGCACAAGCTCTTTCAAAGTTCTCTAAGCAACACAGCTTCAAGTGAGAGTGAGGCTCCCTTGTCATAACTTTGGATTTAGTTTCATCAGCTGCTTCTAATTATAGACATTTGTTAAAATAGATACTAGTTTAAATATTGCAGTATTCTAACACTGATTTACCTACATTATATGTATTTTATAAGGATACTAAACCAGCAGACCCTTATTCTGCCAAAGTAGTGAACCTTATTAAACCTGAATTGAACTAAATCCAAACTATTTACCGAATTTCCTAAAATCACAGGACATTAAGGACTAATAGCATCTGTGCCAGAGATTGACTGTCGTTAGTTGGAAAGACCAATTCTGAAAGCAAACAACAGTCTGACTCCTCATACCTCAGTGCTTAGAAACGTCTCTCTTGAGCTAACGTGGAGGGGAGGGGATCATTGTGTAGTCCAAGTTAGCATGCTGAATGTACATTGATTTCTTTCATAATGATTGCTTAACTCCCCACTGGCTGTCCCAGAGAGGCCTTCTCATGTAGCTCAGCAATTCCTGTACTTTGCAGACAGGAACTTATTGAAACTTTAAGAACAAATTTTGAAAGAACTATGAGCAATGGTGCTGAACACTTTCTTTTAAGCTGCATTTCATTGTCTTAGTTATAGCAGGATTAAGTGATTATTTTAAATTCGTTTTTTTATTAGCATCTTCAAGTATAACAACTTTGAAACTGGAATAAGTGTTTTATTTTCTATTAATAAAAAGAACTGTGACAAAAGTGGACTCTGGCTTCCCCTCCCCCACCACTCCTCTGGGATAAAATTTTCCAACATTGTCAGGAGCTTCCAGATATACATTAAATTAAAGAAAAACCGTAATGAAGTTAAGCAGTTAGAGTATAGGATAGTATTTGATTTTTAAGGTCATCCAAAGCTGCACTATCATACCAAAGCTGGCCAAGTGTAACAGAAAGGAAAAAAACAAACAAAAAAACCCAACCCATGTGCAAGGACAGATATTTGCTTGATCTGCTGGCTAAGGGCCAAAATGTTTAATGCTTCAAAGTCAAAATGTGATTCTGGGAAATTCATGCCACTAATCTGAAAGCTCACTGACTGAAGTGTATTTCAGCTTCATCCGGCCCAGTAATATATTATCCAACAGAAGCCAAGATAACATCTACAGGTGTTTTTTCTTTGCTTCTGACGGTCACCTGCATAGTCACTCCATCTGCTAAGGCCAGCCTGGACCTCACCAATAAATCATGGCCACCTCGGTATATACCTGAGGAGAAAAAAGTGAGAAAAACCATATTAAGAATTTAAAATAAGCTCTGAATAATGAAATATACATCTCCTTTCTTTTAGTTTAGCTTTTCTAGAGATTTGTCAGAATTGAATCCTACATGTAAATTCTCAATTTTTTTTTTAAATATTTCTATGAGACCAGGACATAGAAGGTACTCAAAAGAGGTTGGTGGTGGCACTATCTGTGGGAGAGGTTTCAGTAATTGTTGTAGGCTAAATGTACATCTTAAAAGAATAACCTAAGATTGGCATGCAAAACAAATCATTCATTTTGACTGGGCTTCAAATTGTTACTTATCATGGGGTGATAGGACACTAGTAATGCCTTTCTATTCAATTTTGTAACAAAAATATAAGGGGAATCTAATGGAAGTTTCTTACCTGCCAGATAGAGTGAGTGGGAATTCTTGTTTTCAGGTACTTTATCAGATCTTTCACATGGTTGCATGCCCAGATAAGTGATAATGTTGTTGACAGCTTCTGTGTTGAGAAGATTTATTCGACAAGATTAAAAAAATTAAGCATAGGGATCTGTCTCTGCACCAGTATGTGCTGGTGGCACATGGAGGGAGGCTACTGGACTAAAAAGTGGTTGACTGAATTAAATGATGAAGACAGGGTTTTGACCTTTTAAGTGATTTATGAAGTATTTTAAAACAAATATTAGGCAATATAATGATAGCAAAATTATCCTTACCTTCAAGGGTTTTGGTAGAACTGAGGGCAAAGGTCTCTTCTTTCTCAAAGGTATCTCCAACTTCTTCCCAGGCAGCAGCAAAGCTAGGCTTCAGTACCTTCTGAATGTGGTCAGACACAGTCACTTCAAGATCTTCTAGCTAGTGGGTAACAAGCAGGGTTAGTGAAGAAAAGTCCTTTCTGTAACAGCACAAAGATAAAGGGACTAATAAGGTTTTATCATTCTGTGTTATACTGCTGTAGGAGCATAGGAAAAACTACCATCAAAATAAGTTGGGATCAATCTAATATAGTAGGTCTTCAAAAAGCAAGAAAATAGGACATCTGGCAAGAGTCAAATTCAGATCAACATTTGTAGCCCTGGGGTACAAAGCAGGCAGTTTGCCGCAGAATGACTGCAGGCTGCTGTACAGTATCTTCCGTACTTGGCATTCACTAAGGCTGATTAATTTTTTTATAGTTTTCCCCTTCATTCTGTGAAAGCTTTTTAGTCTACGGCCTGGCTTTATTAATAACAAACCAAATTTTTCGCTGAAGAAAAAAAAATCATTTTAAATAAAATGAAATTCAATAAAAATCATGTAATTACTTTTAGCTCGTTAATTATCCCTATTATAAAAAAGGGGAGAGTTTTAATTATGAAGTGGGAAATCTCAATTCTCTGGCATGATGCAGTCCCATTAGAGAGGAGGATTGCTCCATGTCCTCAGTTGTAAACTGTTTAAGCATAGAAACCCTGTAAGTTTGTGTCAGATGTTTCTAGAAAAATGGTCTCTTGAGGCAGAAGTCAGTGTTGCAAACAGGCAGTGCTGGGAAGACTCACCACATACTCATCATCATACCCATCCTCATCTGGAACTCCAGTATTAGGGTCACAGTCCCGTACTGTAAACTTCATGGTGCAGCTAAAAGAGCCTGCAGCTGGAGGAGACAGCAGAAAAACCTGTGTCAGTGAGCGGTGCACGCTGCTTGGGAGGCGCTTTCTGCGCTTGGCACTATGTTGTACATATTCAAGTTAACATGTACACCTATTTAGGGTTGTGGTTCTCAAAGGCAGCCTGAAAGTGGGTCAGAAAGGCAGTCTCACAAAGAATGATTTTAAACTGTTCCACACCATGGGTTAGAATAGCACAGAAAAGATAACATGGGCAAACTTTTTTGTATGGGTATGAAGGGAAAAAAAAAATTTGGGGGAAGAAGTCTACATGAAGAAGATAGGATTTTCTAAACTGTTGGAAGGAGGGGATTTGGCAAGCATGGATAAAGAAAAATGCATTAAAGTTTCTAATTCATGGTCCTGAAAAGGCCTGTAGATACAAAGATAGTAGAAATTCAGGAGTTAGAAAGTTATTTGGGAGACAGGCAAGGAGAAGAAAGACTAGACTGAGATGTAAAGACCATGTATGACACATAAGTAGTAAGACTTTCATCTTTAAACATCCATCCATCCATCCATACATACATGGAGTGAATATTTAATAGAGTGCTATGTGATGGTGCAGGATTAATATCCTAGGAAAATCATAAAAAATGTGAAAGGATAAAACAATTGGCTTTCAAAAGAGAGAAAAGATCTTTTGACAAGCAGAGGAAGCTACATAGCAAAAGAAAACAGGCCAGAAAGTCCATGGAGTAGTTGGAAATAGTAAGAGGTATGCTAATGCATAGGTTCCGGGGAGAGAATTCGCTTAGGAACAAATTGTGAAATGTATTTCAAATGCTTTTCCAACAGGTCCAAGGCAGTCAAGACTGAAGGGCTAGATAAGATGTGCCTAATTTGAGCTACTGGTGGGGATCCTATGACGAATGGGCCTGAATTCAGAGAGCAGATGGATGGAATAAAATGTTGAAAACAGAAGATAGTAGTGGGTTGACCCACATAGGAAAGAATGTACCTATTGAGGCTTCAGAATTTATTTTAAAGGGATTGAGGAAAAGAATGACTGGTTAAGGTAAAGTTTTCTTCAGGGAGAAGGGGACAGAAGACAGAAAAAAGTGAAGTTAACACAATGCTAGAATAGGTCTCAGCTGAGGTGGGGTTTTTTTTGTTTTATTTTTTTGAGACAGTCTCAAGCTATCGCCCTGGGTAGAGCGCTGTGGCATCACAGCTCACAGCAACCCCAAACTCCTGGGTGTAAGGGATTCTCTTGCCTCAGCCTCCCAAGTAGCTGGGACCACAGGCGCCTGCCACAACACCCAGCTATTTTTTGGTTGTAGTTGTCATTGTTTGGCAGACCTGGGCTGGATTCAAACCCACCAGCTCTGGTGTATGTGGCTGGTGCCTTAGCCACTTGAGCTACAGGTGCCACCCTGTTTTTTTTTGTTGTTGTTTTGTTTTTAAGAGATGGGATAAAGAAAAAGGTCTTTCTCTTTTTATGGTAGAGAAAAAGGTCTTGATGAGGTAAGAAAACAGGATAGACATTAAGTCATAGATTATATGAGTTCCAGCTTAGTTCAGATGAAGCAGGAGTTAGGCGAGAAAGAGTAATAATTGGCAGATCATAGACTGGGCCACGCTGGCTGCATTTTATTTTTAAGTAAACATGAAAGATACTTATGTCTACGTAAGTACCTGATACAGAGAAACAGATAAGGGAAGTAAATAGGGGATGGTGTTATTAGAGATAAAATTTTAACTAAATGGTTTGTTTGCTACAATGAGAGGTTATGTAATCTAAGGGGAATTCTTGAAAACCATAGGTAGTAACATCTATCACAGTTGCAAGACAGAATGAGTGTCGAGGAAAGGAGGTAAGAGGGGCCTTTCTGTGGCAAGAGAACAATACTGACTCCATTGTCGTGATATAAAGATGAGAGAACCACAAGAAGGAAGGCAAATACCAAAGGGAATAAGGAAAGGATGCCCTGAGGATCTGCATTAAAACTATTCTCAGAATGAGGCTTGTCTTTTGAGGAATGACTAAAGATTCTCATCCAACCACTGAGATCCTTTGTAGGAGAGGAACCCAGAGAAGGAAAAGATAGAAACAGGCAGCTAAGGCAGGAGAGGGGCAAGTGAGCAGGGCAGGTGTGCAGAACATACCACGTGGTAAAGGGCAGAGTGGGAAATGGGGTAGGGAGTCACCAGGTCTCAACCAGAGGGGAGAGACTAAGTAAGAAATGGGGTTAGCAGGAGATTCCAGAAAGCTTTGTTGGGGTAATAATTAAAGAAAAGGGTCTGTTGATTGAGTAAAGGATTAGGAAGAGGTGAAAGGATCTGTACACGGGCTAATCTGCAGCAATCCATGTAGGTCTGGACTGAACTGAGAAGGAATGAGTATTGCTTAGTATATAGAAAATCAAGGAAGATGAAAATAAGATGAGCAGTGAGTACCAAAAATGAGGATATACCTACTCAGAAAATAGTGTTGAATCTATGGGAATGCTAACCAATTGGCAGGAGGGATACTAAAGGTAAGGTTTTTCTGTAGGAAAAAAAAGGCAACATTAAAGTTGCACTCAGATGAAAAGCTGTCTCTAAGGAATGACAGAAATCTGGAAGGATAAGACAGCATTCCTGAGCCAAAAGTCATGAGTAAGAAATAAAAAATTGGAAGCAATGGAAAGGGAATACTGTGTAGTGGAGAGCCTATGGCAGAGTAAGTATAACCTAAAGATCTAGAATGGGGAATCTCGTCAGCTCATACGAGGTCTAACTGGTCACACTTTGGTAAGGCCATGTTGCATGGGAAACACACAAAAAGGATGAGGACCAAGGACTGCTTCAGTAGGAGGCAACAGTAGACTGGTTCTTAAAGCTAGAGGGAAATTGCTAATTAAAGGTCTTGGTTGATAGGAAAGTTTATAGACTGATTAAGATTAATGCTAATAAAAAGCTACAGCTGGCAACTTTAGAGATACTAGGCTTGACTTACTAGAGAATATGAACAAGAAGTTTGTCCAGAGAATGGATTATTGCTACTGGGTGAGGAATGGGTAAAGATTATGAGGAGGGAAGTACATCTGAAGGGAAGAATTCTGCGTCCATTTCTTGTGTAGAGAGATGGAAAGTGAAAGAATGACGATTAAGATACTGTAGATTACTGCACACTGTGCCATTCAAGTTGCCCCTGGAAGTCAGCCTGCTATGTGAGGACTGCCTAACAGTGACAGACATTTCCTAGGGAGACTTGTATTGTATGCAAATATCACAAGGGAGGATAAAGAGAAGATTAGAGGCTGGAAGCTAAATAAGAGAGAAAGAAGTTGTAGGATTCAGGCTGGAGTGCGGAATATAAAGTGTAGGTAGGGAAGGGCATTAAAGAGGGCCAGAATAAGGAGCACTGGGAAATGGCAGAGTTGCACATGCAGCAGAAAGATATGAGTTAAGCCAGATTACAACCAAAGAAGGAGAAACTGTGAAGAGAAAGTGGCTGTATAGGAATCGGTGTCTCAAGGGAGTGCCATTTGAGAATCTCTGATGAATGATAATTGAACTAACAAATGTGAACAACAGAGCAAAAGGTCACGGAGTCCAAATGGGATAGATGTGAGTCATGGCCAATGACAGGAACCTGATGAAGGTCTGGGCTTGAGAGTGCAGGTGTATTGAGAAGAGTGTGGAGGTGACAAGGAATTTCACAGAAGAAAAAAACTACTGAATCTATAACAATAATAATAATAAGAAGAAGATAGCAGCTGAAAAACAAGTGACTGTGTAGGTAACATGGATGTTTTTCCAGGATCAATATGGGAAAAGGCTATCAGAAAAGGATAAGGATCAATCTGGGAGCCTGCAGAAGAGATCGGTCCTTTGAAGACTACCAGGAATTGACAGGAGGGATTCATGGTGAAACAAGAAAGGAAAGATTGGAAACTGTTAAGGGAGTACATAGGAAGAGTAGTTAGAAGGAGCTGGAGTGGTGTGGCTAGATAAGTTGAGTGAAGTGTTTCCAAAAATCCTGTAAGATCTTATAATATGGTTCTGTTTGGTCAAATGTTAGGTTGTAATGCCAGACTTTTATTTATTTATTTATTTTAGAGACAGAGTCTCACTCCGTTGCCCTTGGTGGAGTGCTGTGGCATCACAGCTCACAGCAACCTTCAGCTCTTAGGCTTAGGCAATTCTCCTGCCTCAGCCTTCTGAGTAGCTGGGACTGCAGGTGCCTGCCACAACGCCTGGCTATTCTTTTTGTTGCAGTTTGGCTGGGACCAGGTTTGAACCTACCACCCTCAGTCTATGGGGCCAGCGCCCTACTCACTGAGCCACAGGTGCCGCCCATGGCAGAGCTTTTAATTAGGAGGATCAGAAGGAGATGGATTAAGATGAACCCTGATACAAAGCCAGGAAGGCAGGCAGCAACCTTAATAGACACCAGGACAGATCTTTGAGTAGTCTGTAGAACGGCTGGAGATTGTGTTGGGAACCCAACTGAAGAGTAAAACTTCATTTGGTATTTCCAGGTACAGATGGTAGATGAAATTATACTATATAGTATGTACAATTTAAAATTGTACACGAACTTTATGGACACTATATACAGTTAAGGTACAGGAGGGCAAACCACCTAAGGGAGATAACAAGTGAATATAACGTAAGCGCTACATTATGGTTTCTCTCAGAAGTTACTCTTTGTGTGACGATTACAGAGAACGGAGAGAACCTGGCTGGGAAGTGCTGTTCAGGAGGAGACTGAGTCCATCTGAATGAAACGTGAACGGCAGCTAAAAGCAGGAAGGTTGAAGATAAGGTAGCTTATTTCTTTAGGGCAAGATAGTAACAAGGAGAAAAGGAATGGGAGATCAACCTCAGAGGAAATGGTTATTTAAAGAATGACAGGAGTTCGTGTGTCCCTCAGCCGGGAAGGACCTGTTGAGGTTGGCAACCCATCAAGGACAGTAACTACCATGGTTTCCAGTGCTTTGGCCAAACCTCAGATGCGTGGCCTCTTGGCCGGGTGCCTGTGGATTCATATTGTTCGAGCATCTGTTGTATCCCAGGGGGTTGCCGTTTTTTATAAGTTTGCTGTGGCTGAACCAAGAAAGAAGGCATATG